TCAGTGTGCAGGTGAGAAAGGTGGCTATGCAATGTGTGCACCTCCTTTCCATGCATTAAACCCATGTAACCGGGGGAGACAAAAATTGTTTGATTCTGTACATGAGACGATTAAGAATCATTCTCTCAAATGTTTTACAACAAGCACTATAAGAGATATTGTCGAAATGCATATTTGTTGATTGGGCTTAGGAATCTGGAAATGATGAGGCTGGTGGTCCAAGATTGAGAGCTCCCCAGTTACATAGCTCAGGTATATAATTCAAGTAATGGATTACCTGGTTACTCCGACACAGCAATCTGAGAATGTTGTAAGTAATACCATCCTCTACCAGGCGACGTGAGTTTGCCCTAGATAGGCGCTGCTCAAGTTCATAATTAGTGAAAGGAATGTTGCAGATCATCTGCCTTCACTGAGCATAAAGCAAACAAGTCTCTGCCCTTGCACAATTTATCATTTAATTTTCCTGTGTGGTACGGAAGATTGTCATATCTTAGATGGTAGCAGCCCAAAGCCCGGACTAACACATTCGCCCTATGCAAGTGATGAAGTGGCGATCTGCCCAGTTCGTTTAACCATAATACTATTTATGTCCCTCCAATGCCCGGCTAAGTGGGTGTGAGCATTAGACCCGTAGACAAATTTTCCCAGTCGGTTTGCCGCAGCCTCTGACATAACTCTCCTCTGGCAGCACAAGGCATTTGGAAGAGCCTCCAGCATTCTTCAGGGTAAGATGTTTACTATAGGCTAGGCCTATCCTGGCGAGCAGTACGTTTCAGTGTACTAAGTTAGAATCATTGTAATAGTATGGTTTTATGAAGAGGTATGATTATTACTGAAGTTAGTTGGGTTTAGAGTACCAACGAGGTTTGCAGTGCGGGCTCTAAGTAGTTCTGAATACTGCTCACAAGATCATTGTTAAACGTCTCAACAGGAACATTCATAGAATTATCCCAGTCAGTCACTTGCAACAACGTCATCATGCTGACTGTGGTACAATAAAACGTTTCCGATTGAATATCCCACCAGGAAGGATAGAATTACCAATATCTAGAGGAGGATAGCTAGGGAAAATGATCAACTCTATATCCGTTACAATGGAAGACCACAACTGGCAGAAGTAATGTTTGAAGCCCAGCACAGATCAAGGAACGCCTTTCCATAGATATTGTGGGTTCAAGGTCAACCTACCAATTGGACATAATCGTGACTGTTAAGAGTGACAACAGTTGATTGCCATTTTTTACGATTACCCAAACTGTGAGTTTCCAAGCTTGTGTCCCGCATTGTAAACGCCACTAAATCAGAGTAGGCTCAGAATGACACAAGTTGGAGCTCAAGTAATTAAATTTATCACAGAAGCATACAAGTTAAATATGATTGAAGCAGAGTTCCCTATATAATCCTAACACCGAGATATGTAGCCCCGTCTGTTATCTTTGAGTGCAAGAAGTTGATGGGGAAGTGATTTTTTTAATATATAGAACACAAGAGTTTAGTAGAATTTAGGTTTATATGCAACAAATGATGGTAATTTAGGGGGTTGGATTTTCAGGACTCTGCCCTCTTGTAAGACAACACAACATCATGTCGGTGGGTACTTTATGATGAAGTTCAGGAAGCCTTTTTTCTACGTGTTGCAATATTCCACTTAATATCGAAAGTTATACGAGTTTTGATCCATTAAAGTAGTCCTGGATCATCTTGAGTTTTCTCAGTCATAATGAAAAAATTGTTCATATAAATAGCAGACATATCAATGTCAACAGTGCTAACCCTTATGTCCATGAGTTTTGCAAGTGCAGCCTCCAGTTAGTAAGGCTCGAGGGAGTCTTCGTAAACCCAGAGCATGGACGCAGTTTTATGTGGGAATGTTTATGATAGGTGAACCACCCACCACTCACATTCCCATCCCCGCTAACATTACACGCCACACGACAACTGTCAACACCAGCGCCACTACCAACATTGTGTTCATTACATTTGTCACAGTATTTTACTCAACATTAATGTCTATGTGACTAACCTCACACCCTCTGCACCACCACATATATTATGCTCAATCACTATTACTAACATTTTAGACACCACCATCTCATCACACTCTTCACCACCAACTTAAATTATGCTCATCAAAATACTAACATTATCGACACACCACCGGCTCTCATCACACTCATCACCACCACTTAAATTATGCTCACCACTATTACTAACATTTATAGACACAAGCCCTCATCACACTCTTCACCACCACTAAAATACGGTCATCACTATTACAAACATCTTGACACCATAGCCTTCCGTTATGAAAGCTCACTACAGTTATCAACACAAGTATATATTCGTCATTACAGTGATTAAGAACACACCACCACCTTTGTTCAGCAGCCTTACACTTGCTTCACAAATTGTGACAATCTTGTTATTGGGAACACTCTACACATCTTTCCCTTTGTTTGTTCAAGTTGTTGTTTCGGAGTAACTGTTGTGTTTCCATATTTTTATGCGCGACATCAGGGTGTATACACAGGAGCAAGACTTGGAACATCTGGAACGTGAATCCCGGTCACTGAGCTATTTGGCTGACTGTCACTGACTCAGCTAGGCGGTATGACACCGATGTGATGGGGGTCCTGTTGCTGCTCCCAGGTGCGTCAACCCCACCCCCCATTGTTTCTGAGGCAGGCAAGAGCCAGTATTTCAGACCCGAAGGTACCTGGTAGTCCTGGGGGCCAAAATGAGGGGTACAGGTGAATGCGGTTGGCTGCGATGCGATCAGTCCCTCACACTGCATCCGCATGAGCTGCTGTGACCACCTGAGGTCTACAAATGATACATAGTTTGCAACATGTCTGTTGCTGTTTTTGATCATAGCAAAACACCGTTCAGAAGGATGAGCATTGGCACACACGCAAACACCAGTGTGACTTCGATGGGCATTTCCTGGCGAAGTGGCCCCCAGCGATGACACTTATAACATCGAGTTGAGGAGGTCCTTACAATGCAAGTAAAAGCGTCTGTTGAGGGCTGCACGGGAGTGAATATAAGCGTGCAGATTCCCCTGGCCATCCACTCAGCGAATATCAACCGTTGGAAGTCGACGAGGGCTTGCAACTGCTCGACGCCAGATATGAGATTCGTGCATGGTTGACGTTGTAGATGACATAAGCACTTTAGGTGCCCTTGGTGGGCAGCACGAGTTTGATGTGGCATATTCGAGAGTGAGAGTTTGTCTAAAATGCTGAATCATTAGGCACAAAGACGTATGTTATCCTCATCGCGGACAAACTTGATCGTTTTCTCATGATTGTTTACACTAGCTTCGAAAACAGTTAAACTTGTCCTCTGATTCAGTGTTGTCAGGGAATCTAACCTGATAGCTTTGGAGGGTGTGCGGCCCACTGTATTGCTTTCAGCAAGCTTTCTCTGGAAGCCTCGTTCTTTTTTCCGAGCCTGTTTACTAAATTATGTTTCAAATCAGCCTTCAACCATCATCTACGTCAACACCATCAGCATACTTCTTAGCTGACAGGAGTTTTCACACTGGCGATGGGCTAAAGGAAACCGGTGCATAGAAGGGACTAGGAAGGGATATTCTACCTCGCTAACACAGCGCAATGTGGTGTAGTGCCTGCGTCGCAGTGCGATTTTCAAGGTCAATTCACGGGCCACAGTCTTCCTCGAGAGTTACCAATATGCTCCACTCATTAATACTCGAAACCCGCAGCAACTTAACACAGGCTAGCACACGTGTCTGGGAAGACAGACCAATTTTCACTCTGTGGACAAATAGATCATCACAAACTTAATATGTTTATTAGATGAACCTCTGGCTTGTTACAGTTAAAAAGCTGTTTAGCCTGGATCGTTTAAACTCGCCCTTATCCATATGTAGATAATGGCGACGAGCTAAAGGGATACCGGGAATAGGATAGTCGAGGAAGGACATCACCTCACGACCCACCAGTATGGGTGTAAGTGGCATGCGAGTCTTATAAGTGCCATTTTTTCAAGGTCACCCAGCAGGCAGACATTCCTCACTCATATTTACAAGCCTACTTTGTACTGATGGTAGCACAATGTCAAGTCATGAAACCACTCGTGCAATAGTTACAACAAATCTGCAGCAATTAACACAACCATAGATTATTTGCTTTGTAGCAGGCATGTAGGCACACATGAGACCTCGTAAGGTTAGTGGATTGCGGCACAGAGGACTGACACGGCACGCAGCATTATGTGGTCCTGGCAAAAACCGCCTCTAGACCAAAAAGTAAATAGAGTCGACTGGCTGAGTTCCCAAATCGAGGAGGGAGGGAGGGAGGCAAGTGAGTAAGGTGTAGCCTCCTCAGCCACTTCACATCAAGATGTTTGTGTTTCACTAGGTATTCACTAGTCACAGTTCACACATACGAGTTTCCAGCAGCAATTCAGCAGCGCTCCAACATATTTGTTGCCTGATGAGTTATCCAGGTCGGGTGAGATAAGCAGTTCTGATATAGAAGGCCTAGGACTTTCCCTCTACACACACACGTCCACTCCCCTCAACCACTCAGGCCTAACTGTTCTAATGTGAGCACTAGGATGACAGTATCTGAAGCACCATCTTTTAGGAACTTTAGATGGGATGTTATCAGGGCCTGTGCTCTTAGTTGGGTATAACCTGCTTAGTTTCTTTTTGAATGAAGTCATGAGATACACTTTACTAGTTGACACTGTTTGGGGTTACCCTTTATTGTAAAGAATGTTGAACTTATCAGAGTCTGTGTTAAAGTATTTGATGCAGCCTGGTATTTTACTTACTATGTTTGATGCAACAGACGTTAGTAGAATTAAAGCAATTTGCCACCTTAGAGTTTCGTGGCATACCCATTTCGATAGTGATACTATGTTAGACCTATCAACTGGCTTTGGCTATATCCCAACTGTTTTAGTTTTTGCCAGAGCTTTCTGGGTTATGCTTATATTCTTCAATTTTTGAGCATAGTGCTTTTGCCTTTGCTCCTTTTATAAGCCTCTGTACTCTGTTCCTCACCCTTTGGAATTCATTAAGTGCTGCAATATCCTGTCTGTTTGCTTTAAATCTTTTTAGCAGCTGGTCTCTGAATTTCATATTATCTAATATCTCAGTAGTCATCCAGGGTTCAGTTCTTCGTTTAATCCTAACCTCTTTAACTGGTGCAATATTATTAAGAATGGTAGTGAACATTGTTTTGAATTTTTCCCAGGCATCGTTTACGTCCGTGCAACTTGTTATCTCTGTCCAGTCACAATTGTGTAGCCTAGAGGGATTAGTACCAAACTTGAACACGAAAATCACTCCCTATGAAAGCAAAAGACTCGGCAGACGATGGAACATCCCCCCAATGAAAAGCAGGGGTGCCACTAGCATGATAAGAGACAACACAATAAGTGTCAGGGGCTCAAGACTGTTCAACTGCCTCGCAGCATACATAAGGGGGGATTACCAATAGACCCCTGGCTGTCTTCAAGCAGACACTGAACGGGTACCTAAAGTCAGTACCTGACCAGCCGCGCTGTGGTTCGTACATCAGGTTGCATGCATCCAACAATAACAGCTTGGTTGATCAGGCCCTGATCCACCATGAGGCCTGGTCACAGACTGGGCTGCGGGGGCGTTGACCCCCGGAACCCTCTCCAGGTATACTGATTTACTGAATGACTTGACTGATTTACTGAATGATTTAGCTGATTTACTGAATGACTTGACTTATTTGTTGAATGACTTACTTGACTGACTAACCTAGTGACTTGACTGATTTACTGACTTGACTGGCTTACTGACTTGACTGGCTTACTGACTTGACTGACTGGCCTACTAACTTGACTGACTTACTGACTTGACTGACCAACTTGACTGATTTACTGAATGACTTTACTGATTGACTTACCAATTTACTGAATAACTTGACTGATGTATTGACTGCTTATCACTTGACTGATTTACTGACTGTTGGCTTACTAACTTGACTGACTGACTTAACTGATTTACTGGATGACTTGACTGACTTGAATGAGTGACCTATTGAATTAAATGACTGTACTGACTTGAATGACTGACCTACTGACTCACTTGGCTGGATTGACTTACTGACTGGACTACCATCCACCTCAGCCCAGATGGGCCTCAGCATGCCTCTCCACTTCCTCCTTCACAATCATCGACAAACCTCAGAAATCACAATTTAAGGTAAGAAATAATATTTCTGTTGCATTTTTAGCAACATTTGCATTATCATTTTTATTTTTGTAAGATTTGGAGACAAAAAAAAAAAAAAAAAAAAGTTGCCTGGCTTTTTTGAGGGTCTAAGAAACGTTACTCTATTTTTCCCATACGTTCCTCAGTTCCTTTAACACTGATTCGTCTAACACTGCATTTTCAGGAACCTAACTACCGTCTTAATCGATGGTCTACTGTATAAGAGGGATTACCAATAGACCCCTGGTTGTCTTCAAGAAGGCACTAGATAGGTGCCTGAAGTCACTACCTGACCAACCGGGCTGTGGTTCGTACGTCAGCGTGCGTGCGGCCAGCAGTAACAACCTGGTTGATCAGACCCTGATCCACCATGAGGCCTGGTCTCAGACCGGACCGTGGGGGCGTTGACCCCCAAACCCTCTCCAGGTAACCCCCTCCCAATATATATATATTATATATTATATATATATATATATATATATATATTATATATATATATATATATATATATATATATATATGTGTGTGTGTGTGTGTGTGTGTGTGTGTGTGTGTGTGTGTGATTTTGTTTTAATTGACTTAACTTTAGCTAACTGTTTTTATTGGGGAGGTGATCCAATCTTCAGGTGATAAAACGTTTTACTAATCTGTGTTTTAACAAGCCGGGTTTTACCTGTTGTAAATTATCTTTACCTACTCTACTAACATATTATTTGTTGCTTGGCATTGTTTATTTGTTGTTGTTTGCAGTTTTTGCTTTGCTGTTGTTTGTTTTTTGTTGTTGTTGTTTATTGTTGCTGCTGCTGTTGATTCAGCGTCACTGCTCCTAAGGATGTATGTGCGCGCGCGCGCTCGTGTGGGTGTATGACCCACTTAATATTTGTATTTATAACTCATTACAACTGTGACCAGGTGTGGACGTATCAGTGGTTCATTACTTTGTAATTTATTCATGACTGTAACCATATATAGGAGTGAAGCTGATTCATTACCTCTGTAACTTGCCATGATTGTGACCAGATCTACCTGGAGTTCATTACCTTTGTAACTAGTTCAGCTATCATAACTTTGGGGTACAGTCCCTGGACCCATTATGTACCTTTGTAATCTTCTGACTACCGCCCACAGGATGGGTATGGGGTGCATAATAAAGATATTAAACTAACTAACTAACTCCTAAGGATGGTAACACTTCAAGAAGCTGGTGTGTCAACATAGAGTGGGTGGTATCTCACACACAGTGGACGTGCATGTGTGAGTGTGTGGGGTATTACAGCCACCCAGTTTTTTTCTGCTTGCTGACCAGCGACACCCCGGTCACCTCCTTGGCTGGTGGCGAGGGCTTAGCTGTCTGCGACTTTGGGACTTCTGATGACTTTGGTGCAGCTGGCTTAGAGACATCCGATTGTTCTGTTGCAGGTGGCTTTAGGGCCTCTGGTAGCTTTGGTGCAGCTGGCTTAGAGACCTTTGATTGTTCTCTTGCAGCTGGCTTCGGGGCCTCTGATGGCTTTGGCACAAGTGGCTGCGGAAGCTCTGATGGCTCCGTTGCGGCTGGCTTCATTGCCTCTGGTGCTGATGTCTTCGCTAATTCAGACGTTCTTGCTGCGGATGACTTTGTTTCCTGGTATGGCTTTGGCTTGGCAGGCTTTTCCAGCGAGCCATTAGGAACCGATTTCTTCGGCGCTTCACTTAGTTTTTGGTTTTCCTCGGGATGTTTACTTGTTTGGAAGGGAGGCGTCTGAGGCTTACTGGCATCAGATGGAGGCGTCTGAGGCTTACTGTCGCCAGAGGGAGGCTTCTGATGCTTACTGGCGTCAGAGGGAGCCGTCTGGGGCGTACTGGCGTCAGAGGAAGGCGTCTGAAGCTTACTGATGTCAGAGGGAGCTGTCTGAGGCTTACTGGTGTCAGAGGGAGACCCGGGAATTTCTCGATCGAGGGGAGGTGTAGGAGGCTGCCTGCTGAATGAGGGACACGAGGAAGAGGTGTCAATGGAAGAAGTGTCTCTGGAGAGAGAAACTTTCCGAATCTTCGATTCAAGACCGTCTCTGGACAGATTACCATCTGCTTGAATGCTTTGCAAGGCCCGCCATCCTCGACCGTACCTTGGAACAAGCTGAGGAATGGAAAAAAGAATATCAGTAAGAAATTACAAAAATAAAGGATGCATGTGCATTGGTTTTAAGCTGGAAAAAATCAAATTCAGGAAGGATAAAGGAAAGCACTGGTTTGGTAATAGAGTTGTGGATGAATGGAACAAACTCTTGAGTACCGTCGTAGAAGCTATGACGCAGTGTAGTTTTAAAAATAGGTTGGATAAATACATGAGTGGGTGAGTTGGACCTGACTAGCTTGTGCTAATAGATTTTATGCCGTGCTCCTTCCTTAAGTGGATGTGACGTGACCTGGCTAGGTGGGTCATTGATTTAAGCCGGGAGGTGACTTGGACCTGCCTCGCGTGGGCCAGTAGGCCTGCTGCAGTGTTCCTTCTTTTTTATGTTCATATATATATGTCGTACCAATTATACCTGAGTTTACCTGGAGAGGGTTTCGGGGGTCAACGCCCCCGCGGCTCGGTCTGAGACCAGGTCTCGTGGTGGATCAGGGTCTGATCAACCAGGCTGTTACTGCTGGCCGCACGCAAACTGACGTACGAACCACAGCTCGGTTGGTCAGGTACTGACTTTAGGTGCCTGTCCAGTGTCCTCTTGAAGACAGCCAGGGGTCTATTGGTAATCCCCCTTATGTATGCTGGGAGGCAGTTGAACAGTCTTGGGCCCCGGACACTTACCATGTTGTCTCTCAAGGCACTCGTGGCGCCCGTGCTTTTCATTGGGGGAATGTTGCATCTCCTGCCGAGTCTTTTGCTTTCGTAGGGAGTGATTTTAGTGAGCAAGTTTGTTACTAATCCCTTTAGGTTTTTCAAAGTGTATATTATCATGTATCTCTATGGTCTTGCGCCACCGTCCACAGGATGGATATGGGGTGCACAATAAACTAGCCACTTCGGTGGCAAAATCTAAATCTAAATCCTAGTGTCCGTGCTCCCTCTCCAATGAATGCTGAAGGCACGTGACAGGGACTTCTTGCAGTTCTTGATAAACACGGAGTTCCATGAGTCTGGGCCTGGGGCAGAGTGCATGGGCATGTCATTTATTGCCTTTTCAAAGGCTTGTGGTATTAGCATATTATCAGAGATTTTTGAGATGATCAAATTTTGGGTCATCTGCCCAGACCCTTAGTCTGGGCAGCGGCTCGCTGAACACTGAGTCGTATTGGGATTTAGTATATCACTCATTTTTTTAGCTGTCATCTGTGTATGTCACATCTCGACTAAGCAGGAGCCCAATACTGGATGTTGTTTTACCCTTAGATTTGGCATAATTTTTTTTTTCAGTTTCCTTTATGGCTTTTAGTTCTTCCTGAGCATTTTGTCTTCTGTAAGATTTCTTAAGCTTAAGTTCAATATTTTCTATTTCACTGACCAGTGCCTCCCTTCATATTTCAGATATATTGGCTCCTCTCAGTAGCTCTGATTCTTTGCCTTCATCTGAATAGGGAGCGTCTCTCTCTTTCTAGTTTACATCTTCTCTTTCTTTTTCTCGATGGAATGTGTCTTGAGTAGACCTCAAGAGCCACAGAGTTATTTTTTTCTACTCAAAGGTTCGGATCCGTGTTGTTTAGGATATCTTCCCAGCTTGTACACACACACACACCTAAGGATAGCCTAAGGATAGCGTTCCGATACCTCAGTAAGGAATCGTTCAAGACTCTGTACACCATATACGTTAGGCCCATATTGGAGTATGCAGCACCAGTTTGGAATCCACATCTGGTCAAGCACGTCAAGAAATTAGAGAAAGTGCAAAGGTTTGCAACAAGACTAGTCCCAGAGCTAAGGGGATTGTCCTACGAAGAAAGGTTAAAGGAAATTGGCCTGGCAACACTGGAGGACAGGAGGGTCAGGGGAGACATGATAACGACATATAAAATACTACGAGGAATAGACAAGGTGGACAAAGACAGGTTGTTCCAGGGAGGGGACACAGAAACAAGAGGTCACAATTGGAAGCTGAAGACTCAGATGAGTCAAAGGGATGTTAGGAAGTATTTCTTCAGTCATAGAGTTGTCAGGCCGTGGAATAGCCTAGAAAGTGACGTAGTGGAGGCGGGAACCATACATAGTTTTAAGACGAGCTTTGATAAAGCTCATGGAGCAGGGAGAGAGAGGACCCAGTAGCAATCAGTGAAGAGGCGCGGCCAGGAGCTATGACTCGGCCCCTGCAACCACAAATAGGTGAGTACACACACACACACACACACACACACACACACACACGGACCAGGAGCTGTGAATCGACCTTCTCAACCACAACTAGGTGAGTACACACGCACACACACAGAGTAAGTAAGTTTATTCAGGTATACACAAATACAGCTACGTAGATTATCAGAGTAGAAACACTGGGCGTGTTTCTTTCCACCTGTTGTCTATGTTCCCCATCAGTAAAATGGGTACCTGGGTGTTAGTGGACTGGTGTGGGTCGCATCCTGGGACACTGACCTAATTTGCCCGACATGCGGAGCATAACAAGGGACTTTCTGTGTAGTAGTATGTCATTGTTGTCAGCTAGGACTGTATACCATATACATGTACTTGTACTAAATAAACATATTATTATATTATTATTATTATAAGTGTAGAGAACCTGGGATAACCCAAAAAAGTCAGAGTGACTTATTTCCAGGAGGGTAAATAATTTTAATGTCCAGTGTAATGGGGAGCCCATCACTTCAGTTTACTCAGTAAAATATCTGGGAATCTCCTTTGACCCATACATGTCAGGAGAATTAATAGGGAACAGTGTGGTAAAGAAAGCGAATGCCAGACTGAAATTCCTCTACAGACAAGCACAGTGTCTACCTACTGAGGCTCGCAGGACCCTATGTCTAGCCCTTATACAGTGTCATATGGATTACGCTTGCTCTTCATGGTACTCTGCCTTGACAAAATAAATGAAAGATAGACTGCAAATCACCCAGAACAAAATGGTAAGATTCATCTTGGACCTGGGACCAAGAGAACATGTAGGCCAGGATGAATTACAGCAGTTGGATATGCTGAATGTTGAAGACAGTAAAATAACTGAAGCTAAATCATGTTTATAAAATTGCTCACGAACAGTGTCCAGAATATCTTGCTGTCAATTTTGTCAAGGTTGGGAACCGGAACAATCATAGTACTAGGGGGAGAGAACACAACTATGTAGTAGCCACAGTCAGTGGCCAGGCTTCAAACACCTTTTATTGTACAGCAATAAAGGAATGGAACAGACTGCCTGCACATGTCAAAGTCAGTCATAGCATGAGCCGAGTCAACAGAAAGCCAAAATCTGCTTAATGAATGTAGCGACAGAAATGGAAGAGAATGATTTTTCATATTTTTAGCTAACAAACATGTAAATATAAATAACTCAGTTTACCTTATTCCTAGTATATCTCCTTTATAGTATAATAATAAGATATTATCAACCTTATTGTATAATAATAATGTAATGAAAGGACCCCAATGGAAATAAGTCACTGACGTTTTTTGTGTTATCCCAGGTTCTCTATACACACATGCTGCTATGTTGTCCCAGGTTCTCTATACACACATGCTGCTATGTTGTCCCAGGTTCTCTATACACACATGCTGCTATGTTGTCCCAGGTTCTCTATACACACATGCTGCTATGTTGTCCCAGGTTCTCTATACACACATGCTGCTATGTATGATACTCTACTTCACTGTATTTATGTATACCTGAATAAACTTACTTACGGTCAAGTTGTTGCAAAACACACAGCCAACAATATTGTGTATCTAAGGCATTTATTTATTATTATTATTATTATTATTATTATTATTATTATTATTATTATTATTATATTCAGGGATTATTCAGTGTCTCGGGAAATGAAAGACATTTAGGTTCGATTGAAGAAAGAAGCACAGGTCCAGTTCCTCGGTTCAAGAGCCTCTAACCAGCATAAACTACCCATACCCCGGCCGGGATTGAACCCGCGGTCAGAGAGTCTCACCAGCATAAACTACCCTCAGGGATGCCAATAAAAACATAATGTGTCGCCTGTAATTTAAGTTTGTGATTATTCTGATGCCTGGACGGTGTTTCGGGGGGTCAACGCCCCCGCGGCCCGCTCCATGACCAGGCCTCCTGGTGGATCAGGGCCTGATCAACCAGGCTGTTACTTCTGACAGCAGGCAAACCGACGTATGAACCACATCCCGGCTGGTCAGGTACTGACTTTAGGTGTCTGTCCAGCACCTTCTTGAAGACAGTCAGGGGTCTACTGGTAATCCCCCTTGTGTATGCTGGGAGGCCCTGATACTTACTGTGTTGTCTCTTAAGTATACTCGTGGCGCCTCTCCTTTTCATTGGAGGGATGTTGCACTGCCTGCCGAGCCTCTTGCTTCCGTAGGGTGCAATTTCCGTGTGCAGATTTGGGACCAGTCCCTCTAGGATTTTCCAAGTATATATTACCATATATCTTTCTCGCCTGCGTTCCAAGGAGTACAGGTCAAGGGACTTCAACCCTTCCCAGTAGTTTAGGTACTCATAACTTCTGTTGTTGTCTGACGATTTTATTGAGGTGGACAAGCACAAATTCCAAAGGGAAGTATGGGTAAATGAGTGAGAGACAGTGTTATTATTATAGGACGGGGAACATAATAGTGAATTTTGCAGAGCATACCAACAGTTTTGGATAATTTTTTTTATTAGAGCTGAATGTAAGCATTGGAACTGAATTTATTATCTAAGTTATTACCAAAGAACTTATCCTAATCTTTCAAAAAATATGCCAAATCCAAAATTAATTGATGTTATTGGCATCCCTTAGCTGATGGAGTCATTGGCAGTCAATTGAGGGAGCTAGGTTGATGGCAATACCTTGATTCCAGTTAAAAGAGTGTCACTATCTAGGTTAATGGAGTACCTGAGACACACTCAGTTGATGGAGACAGTAGAGTGCCTTTAGTCAAAATAGTCACTGGGACTTACCTGAGCCTTGCGGCACTTGGATACTTCATTCAGCATGACTTTATTGATTTCGCCCCCCATGAAGACCCCACGCTTCTGGTAGAACTGAACCTGTGGGAGGAACACCAGTCACTGTTAATGTCTTATTGGTGAACCTTGTGGGAGGAAGACTATTCACCAGTAAACCTGTAGGAGGACGTACCTACTTATCTTAAAAAATCAAAAGACTCACCGACTTCCACTTCTTGCTGCTGCCCTGGCGAGTGAACTCCCTAAGATTCTGCCGCTGGATGCTTGTGGTGGTGGATCCGATGTGGTCGCGGTTCTTGACACTCTTGCGAACCATCTGGTTCCAATCCTTCTTCTTCTTGCCCTGTGAGAAGATCAAGTACTAGAACCCAGAGATATATCATCACAACCATCCTACAATAGGCTACAAATCCATATATTAACCTTGTAAGTCAGAATACAACAATGTGAATCATTAGGATAAAAAAAAGCCTCAAATGTTCGAAGATTTACAAGCATATATTATAAATAATAAAAAATAATAAAACAGTAAAGCGTTTTTTATGGGGAGAATGATGCTCAATTTAGAGTAAGGAGTAAAGGGCAATATTTTCCATTAAAAAAACAGTCTTAGGGATCAATAATGTCATTCATTTGACACATTTATACTGGAGCTGTAAAGGCAGTGATAACTACAGTGTTGGCAGTGATAACTACAGTGTTGGCAGTGATAACCACAGATGCAGGATAACAAGGTAATGGAAGGTATATAAAAGGGGAGACGGCACAGTTGTGTTTTGTCTATGACAATGCTTTTGAGAGATTCGGCAGAGGAGTGGCAAAAGTTTGTGGGGGTCTTTGGAAGGGTTTGCAAAAGAGGTGTTGGGCGGATGGAAGGTGTTGGGCGGATGGAAGGTGTTGGGGCGGATGGAAGGTGTTGGGCGGATGTAAGGTGTTGGGCGGATGGAAGGTGTTGGGCGGATGGAAGGTGTTGGGCGGATGGAAGGTGTTGGGCGGATGTAAGGTGTTGGGCGGATGGAAGGTGTGGGCGGATGGAAGGTGTTGGGCGGATGGAAGGTGTTGGGCGGATGGAAGGTGTTGGGCGGATGGAAGGTGTTGGGCGGATGGAAGGTGTTGGGTGGATGGAAGGTGTAGGGCGGATGGAAGGTGTTGGGCGGATGGAAGGTGTTGGGTGGATGGAAGGTGTTGGGCGGATGGAAGGTGTTGGGCGAATGGAAGGTGTTGGGCGGATGGAAGGTGTTGGGCGGATGGAAGGTGTAGGGCGGATGGAAGGTGTTGGGCGGATGGAAGGTGTAGGGCGGATGGAAGGTGTTGGGCGGATGGAAGGTGTTGGGCGGATGGAAGGTGTTGGGCGGATGGAAGGTGTTGGGCGGATGTAAGGTGTTGGGTGGATGTAAGGTGTTGGGTGGATGAAAGGTGTTGGGTGGATGTAAGGTGTTGGGTGGATGAAAGGTGTTGGGTGGATGAAAGGTGTTGGGTGGATGGAAGGAGTTGGGTGGATGGAAGGTGTTGGGTGGATGGAAGGTGTTGGGTGGATGGAAGGTGTTGGGTGGATGGAAGGTGTTGGGTGGATGGAAGGTGTTGGGTGGATGGAAGGTGTTGGGTGGATGAAAGGTGTTGGGTGGATGAAAGGTGTTGGGTGGATGGAAGGTGTTGGGTGGATGGAAGGTGTTGGGTGGATGAAAGGTGTTGGGTGGATGCAAGGTGTTGGGTGGATGGAAGGTGTTGGGCGGATGGAAGGAGTTGGGTGGATGGAAGGAGTTGGGTGGATGGAAGGTGTTGGATGGATGGAAGGTGTTGGGCGGATGCAAGGTGATGGGTGGATGGAAGGTGTTGGGTGGATGGAAGGAGTTGGGTGGATGGAAGGAGTTGGGTGGATGGAAGGTGTTGGATGGATGGAAGGTGTTGGGCGGATGGAAGGTCTTGGGCGGATGGAAGGTGTTAGGCGGATGGAAGGTGTTGGGCGGATGTAAGGTGTTGGGTGGATGGAAGGTGTTGGGCGGATGTAAGGTGTTGGGCGGATGGAAGGTGTTGGGCGGATGGAAGGTGTTGGGCGGATGGAAGGTGTTGGGTGGATGGAAGGTGTTGGGCGGATGGAAGGTGTTGGGCGGATGGAAGGTGTTGGGCGGATGGAAGGTGTTGGGCGGATGGAAGGTGTTGGGTGGATGGAAGGTGTTGGGCAGATGTAAGGTGTTGGGCGGATGGAAGGTGTTGGGCGGATGGAAGGTGTTGGGCGGATGGAAGGTGTTGGGCGGATGTAAGGTGTTGGGTGGATGGAAGGTGTTGGCGGATGTAAGGTGTTGGGCGGATGGAAGGTGTTGGGCGGATGGAAGGTGTTGGGCGGATGGAAGGTGTTGGGCGGATGGAAGGTGTTGGGCGGATGGAAGGTGTTGGGCGGATGGAAGGTGTTGGGCGGATGGAAGGTGTTGGGCGGATGTAAGGTGTTGGGTGGATGGAAGGTGTTGGGCGGATGTAAGGTGTTGGGCGGATGGAAGGTGTTGGGCGGATGGAAGGTGTTGGGCGGATGGAAGGTGTTGGGCGGATGTAAGGTGTTGGGCGGATGTAAGGTGTTGGGCGGATGTAAGGTGTTGGGTGGATGGAAGGTGTTGGGCGGATGTAAGGTGTTGGGCGGATGGAAGGTGTTGGGCGGATGGAAGGTGTTGGGCGGATGGAAGGTGTTGGGCGGATGTAAGGTGTTGGGCGGATGTAAGGTGTTGGGCGGATGTAAGGTGTTGGGTGGATGGAAGGTGTTGGGCGGATGGAAGGTGTTGGGTGGATGGAAGGTGTTTGGGCGGATGTAAGGTGTTGGGTGGATGGAAGGTGTTGGGCGGATGGAAGGTGTTGGGCGGATGGAAGGTGTTGGGCGGATGGAAGGTGTTGGGCGGATGGAAGGTGTTGGGCGGATGGAAGGTGTTGGGTGGATGGAAGGTGTTGGCGGATGGAAGGTGTTGGGTGGATGGAAGGTGTTGGGCGGATGGAAGGTGTTGGGTGGATGGAAGGTGTTGGGCGGATGGAAGGTGTTGGGCGGATGGAAGGTGTTGGGTGGATGGAAGGTGTTGGGTGGATGGAAGGTGTTGGGTGGATGGAAGGTGTTGGGCGGATGGAAGGTGTTGGGCGGATGGAAGGTGTTGGGCGGATGGAAGGTGTTGGGTGGATGGAAGGTGTTGGGCGGATGGAAGGTGTTGGGCGGATGGAAGGTGTTGGGCGGATGGAAGGTGTTGGGCGGATGGAAGGTGTTGGGTGGATGGAAGGTGTTGGGCGGATGGAAGGTGTTGGGCGGATGGAAGGTGTTGGGCGGATGGAAGGTGTTGGGCGGATGGAAGGTGTTGGGCGGATGGAAGGTGTTGGGTGGATGGAAGGTGTTGGGCGGATGGAAGGTGTTGGGCGGATGGAAGGTGTTGGGCGGATGGAAGGTGTTGGGCGGATGGAAGGTGTTGGGCGGATGGAAGGTGTTGGGTGGATGGAAGGTGTTGGGTGGATGTAAGGTGTTGGGTGGATGGAAGGAGGTGTTGTATATTTTAAGAGTTAAAAACGTGCATATCCAGCAGACAAGTTTGAGAGGTTTTAGATGACAATGTAGAGAAACGTTTTGTTGTAAATGACCTGTTGTTGGAGTATGAGAGAGGAAGTATTAATGGATGGATTCAAAGCAAATAGCTAGTCGGACCTGAGTTACAGGGATGGGAAGTAGTGAGTATACTGTGAAGACATGATGGACAGGCTATGTTACAGTGGATTAATGAAACTGTGATTCCTCTGCATTTGTGGAAAGACAGCCAGGGAATGAGGAATGATGAATTTGGTTTTCTCCTTTGGTCTCCTACTTTAGTGGGAGACAACCGGAATCTTAAAAAAAAATAATAAAAGACACAGGTGCAGAGGAAAGGTTTGTAACAACTTGACTCACGGAATCGTAATGACACGCTTGCAAACAAACCATACCACGGGCGGGGATAGAACCCATGACGGTCTGGAGTTTTGAGACTGATCGCGGGTTCTATGCCCGCCCGTGGTATGGTTTGTGACAACTTTCCTGCAACTGTCTTGTTACATCTTCACTGTTAACACGAACACTACATAATAAATAAACAAGCACAGAACTTATGCAATTATCTCTATCTGGCTAATTTAGCTCTGTATGTACAAACATTATTAACAAGCCTAGTGAGGTGCTGTGTCACGAGGCGCAGTGTTGGTTAAGACACATGTGCAACATCTGGATATCTTTATTGTAGACGTTTCGCCATCCAGTGGCTTTATCAATACAGATTCTAGGACATAATAGGAAGACAGTAAAACTATATACAAAAGACGAGGTAATCAGTCCCTCGGCCTAGGAGTTAGTGTTCACAGCATCGTGGTGGAGGAGAATCTGGAGCAAAGACAAGAAGACCGGCTGCTGCAACTAACCCATCTCTTTGAGAAGGACCTACTTCCACTGGGGAATCCCGCCTACCAGTGACTTTGCCCTCGTCTGCTGCCCGTCCCTTTCCACTGACGCCTATATAGCCGCCAGTCTTCTTGTCTTTGCTCCAGATTCTCCTCCACCACGATGCTGTGAACACTAACTCCTAGGCCGAGGGACTGATTACCTCGTCTTTTGTATATAGTTTTACTGTCTTCCTATTATGTCCTAGAATCTGTATTGATAAAGCCACTGGATGGCGAAACGTCTACATTAAAGATATCCAGATGTTGCACATGTGTCTTAACTTTCATATTGTCGGTATTTTATACCTTTCTTGCACAGGCGCAGTGTTGTTGCTGCTTCAGTAATAACAATGGTTCTATCATTTATTTTCCCGTCAGTGTGAAAGTTGTACATATAATGTAGCCTCAGTGTTACAATTTGTATATTCTGTGATATTCCTGCCAGTTACCTTCATTATCTCTCTGGCACCCTCCTTCACTCTCACACTCTCCCACACCCTGGCACCCTCCTTCACTCTCACACTCTCCCACACCCTGGCACCCTCCTTCACTCTCACACTCTCCCACACCCTGGCACCCTCCTTCACTCTCACACTCTCCCACACCCTGGCACCATCCTTCACTCTCACACTATCACACACCCTGGCACCCTCCTTCACTCTCACACTATCACACACCCTGGCACCCTCCTTCACTCTCACACTCTCCCACACCCTGGCACCCTCCTTCACTCTCACACTCTCCCACACCCTGGCACCCTCCTTCACTCTCACACTCTCCCACACCCTGGCACCCTCCTTCACTTCTCACACTCTCCCACACCCTGGCACCCTCCTTCACTCTCACACTCTCCCACACCCTGGCACCCTCCTTCACTCTCACACTCTCCCACACCCTGGCACCCTCCTTCACTCTCACACTCTCCCACACCCTGGCACCCTCCTTCACTCTCACACTCTCCCACACCCTGGCACCCTCCTTCACTCTCACACTCTCCCACACCCTGGCACTCTCCTTCACTCTCACACTCTCCCACACCCTGGCACCCTCCTTCACTCTCACACTATCACACACCCTGGCACCCTCCTTCACTCTCACACTCTCCCACACCCTGGCACCCTCCTTCACTCTCACACTCTCCCACACCCTGGCACTCTCCTTCACTCTCACACTCCCCACACCTGGCACCCTCCTTCACTCTCACACTATCACACACCCTGGCACCCTCCTTCACTCTCACACTATCACACACCCTGGCACCCTCCTTCACTCTCACACTCTCCCACACCCTGGCACCCTCCTTCACTCTCACACTATCACACACCCTGGCACCCTCCTTCACTCTCACACTATCACACACCCTGGCACCCTCCTTCACTCTCACACTATCACACACCCTGGCACCCTGATTCATTCTCACACTCTCCCACACCCTGGCACTCTCCTTCACTCTCACACTCTCCCACACCCTGGCACCCTCCTTCACTCTCACACTATCACACACCCTGGCACCCTCCTTCACTCTCACACTATCACACACCCCTGGCACCCTCCTTCACTCTCACACTATCACACACCCTGGCACCCTCCTTCACTCTCACACTATCACACACCCTGGCACCCTCCTTCACTCTCACACTATCACACACCCTGGCACCCTCCTTCACTCTCACACTATCACACACCCTGGCACCCTCCTTCACTCTCACACTCTCCCACACCCTGGCACTCTCCTTCACTCTCACACTCTCCCACACCCTGGCACCCTCCTTCACTCTCACACTATCACACACCCTGGCACCCTCCTTCACTCTCACACTCTCCCACACCCTGGCACCCTCCTTCACTCTCACACTCTCCCACACCCTGGCACTCTCCTTCACTCTCACACTCTCCCACACCCTGGCACCCTCCTTCACTCTCACACTATCACACACCCTGGCACCCTCCTTCACTCTCACACTATCACACACCCTGGCACCCTCCTTCACTCTCACACTATCACACACCCTGGCACCCTCCTTCACTCTCACACTCTCCCACACACTGACACCCTCCTTCACTCTCACACTCTCCCACACACTGACACCCTCCTTCACTCTCACACTCTCCCACACCCTGGCACCCTCCTTCACTCTCACACTCTCCCACACCCTGGCACCCTCCTTCACTCTCACATTCTCCCACACCCTGACACCCTCCTTCACTCTCACACTATCACACACCCTGGCACTCTCCTTCACTCTCACACTATCCCACACCCTGGCACCCTCCTTCACTCTCACACTCTCCCACACCCTGGCACCCTCCTTCACTCTCACACTATCCCACACCCTGGCACCCTCCTTCACTCTCACACTATCACACACCCTGGCACCCTCCTTCACTCTCACACTCTCCCACACCCTGGCACTCTCCTTCACTCTCACACTCTCCCACACCCTGGCACCCTCCTTCACTCTCACACTCTCCCACACCCTGGCACTCTCCTTCACTCTCACACTCTCCCACATCCTGGCACCCTCCTTCACTCTCACACTCTCCCACACCCTGGCACTCTCCTTCACTCTCACACTCTCCCACACCCTGGCACCCTCCTTCACTCTCACACTCTCCCACACCCTGGCACTCTCCTTCACTCTCACACTCTCCCACACCCTGGCACCCTCCTTCACTCTCACACTATCACACACCCTGGCACCCTCCTTCACTCTCACACTCTCCCACACCCTGGCACTCTCCTTCACTCTCACACTCTCCCACACCCTGGCACCCTCCTTCACTCTCACACTATCACACACCCTGGAACCCTCCTTCACTCTCACACTATCACACACCCTGGCACCCTCCTTCACTCTCACACTATCACACACCCTGGCACCCTCCTTCACTCTCACACTCTCCCACACCCTGGCACCCTCCTTCACTCTCACACTATCACACACCCTGGCACCCTCCTTCACTCTCACACTCTCCCACACCCTGGCACCCTCCTTCACTCTCACACTCTCCCACACCCTGGCACCCTCCTTCACTCTCACACTCTCCCACACCCTGGCACCCTCCTTCACTCTCACACTCTCCCACACCCTGGCACCCTCCTTCATTCTCACACTCTCCCACACCCTGGCACCCTCCTTCACTCTCACACTATCACACACCCTGGCACCCTCCTTCACTCTCACACCTCTCCCACACCCTGGCACCCTCCTTCACTCTCACACTCTCCCACACCCTGGCACCCTCCTTCACTCTCACACTCTCCCACACCCTGGCACCCTCCTTCACTCTCACACTCTCCCACACCCTGGCACCCTCCTTCACTCTCACACTCTCCACACACCTGGCACTCTCCTTCACTCTCACACTCTCCCATACCCTGGCACCCTCCTTCACTCTCACACTATCACACACCCTGGCACCCTCCTTCACTCTCACACTATCACACACCCTGGCACCATCCTTCACTCTCACACTATCACATACCCTGGACACTCTCATTCACTCTCACACTATCACACACCCTGGCACCCTCCTTCACTCTCACACCTCTCCCACACCCTGGCACACTCCTTCACTCTCACACTATCACACACCCTGGCACCCTCCCTCACTCTCACACTATCACACACCCTGGCACCCTCCTTCACTCTCACACTATCACACACCCTGGCACCCTCATTGACTCTCACACTATCACACACCCTGGCACCCTCCTTCACTCTCACACTATCACACACCCTGGCACCCTCATTCACTCTCACACTATCACACACCCTGGCACCCTCCTTCACTCTCACACTATCACACACCACTGGCACCCTCCTTCACTCTCACACTCTCCCACACCCTGGCACTCTCCTTCACTCTCACACTCTCCCACACCCTGGCACCCTCCTTCACTCTCACACTATCACACACCTTGGCACCCTCCTTCACTCTCACACTCTCCCACACCCTGGCACTCTCCTTCACTCTCACACTCTCCCACACCCTGGCACCCTCCTTCACTCTCACACTATCACACACCCTGGAACCCTCCTTCACTCTCACACTATCACACACCTTGGCACCCTCCTTCACTCTCACACTCTCCCACACCCTGGCACCCTCCTTCACTCTCACACTCTCCCACACCCTGGCACCCTCCTTCACTCTCACACTCTCCCACACTCTGGCACCCTCCTTCACTCTCACACTCTCCCACACCTTGGCACCCTCCTTCACTCTCACACTCTCCCACACCCTGGCACCCTCCTTCACTCTCACACTCTCCCACACCCTGGCACCCTCCCTCACCCTTGCGCCGTCCTCACCTTGAGATGAAGACTGGTGAGGGCGTTCAGGGACTTCTCCACACCCGCCAGGAGAGTAGCGTCCAGTCCCTCCACCAGACCAATGTTGAAACCCTTGAGTAGCCGGCGTTCCCTGGTCTGCTGCTTCTTGCCCAGGGCAGCTGTGGGCACAGCATGGGATCTTACTGCCATTATAAAGCACAGCAACTGTTGTATTTGGTATTATATGCGTTACGACTTATTGTAGACGATAATATATGTACCGCAGCAGCAATATTCACAATGAAGAATTAATATACACAATGATGCATCGATATATACACTAAAACACTAATATATTCAATATGAACACTGTATCCTTAATATATGCAGTGAAGTACCGAATATTCAGGGAAACACTAATATGCACACTGAAGTACTCATATATAATATATAAAATATAATATATATATATATAATATATATATATATATATATATATATATATAATATATATATATATATATGTATATATATATATATATATATATATATATATATATATATATATATATATATATATATATATATATATATATATATATAATATATGTATATATATATGTATATATATATATATATATATATATATATATATATATATATATATATATATATGTATATATATATGTATATATATATATATATATATATATATATATATATATATATAATATATATATATATATATAATATATATATATTCTGAAATATACAATGAAGGACACTAAATACACACACTAATACACACATTAAAACATTAAAGAGAGAGAGTCGCAGATGAGAGGGGGGGCAGGCAAACCAAGAAAGTGGAGCATACTCAAGGTGTGAGCGTACTTGTGCCTCGTACAGAATCTTGCAACTCCTACTGTCAAGCAGATGCGAGATACGGCGAAGTGCTGTAAGCTTCCTGGCTGCCTTGTTTGCAAGATTTACAACATGATTCTCTAAACTAACCATGAAGAACCATGTTGTAAATCTTGCAAACAAGGCAGCCAGGAAGCTTACAGCACTTCGCCGTATCTCCCATCTGCTTGACAGTAGGGGTTGCAAGCTCCTGTACGAGGCACAAGTACGCTCACACCTTGAGTATGCTCCACTTTCTTGGTTTGCCTGCCCCCCCCCTCTCATCTGCGACTGCTTGACAGAGTAGAGAACAGAGCAAGACGTCTCATCTCTCGCCTGGACCCATCCTGGATAGATCTGTCATTTCAGCAGAGCCTTCAACATAGGAGGGATGTGGGTGGCCTTACTGTTATGTACAAGGCCAATATTGTCAAAGTACCACACTTGGATCCACTTCGAGGACAGCGTGAAACAAGCTTTTATGTCACAAGATGGGCAGAAAGCAGCAACTTCACTCTGGCTGTACCCTTCTCCAGAACATCACTCCATCTAAGATCACATATACCCAGGATGACTCGAGTATGGAACACATTCGTACAGCATAATGATGTCAACGAGATAAAGTCAGTTGATCAAATGAAAATGCTGGCCCACAGATGGCTCCAACTTCATCCTGTTCCCTACCTGTATGTCTCATAACAATAAAAATGCTTTCAAATGAGCTGATGTAGGTAACAGCTCTTAGCTTGCCAATAAAGTTAGGAATCCTTAACTTGTAAATAGCTTGTCAATAAAGCTAGGGATCCTTAACCTTGTCAAACCCTGTGTAAAAAAAAAAAAAAAAGAAAAAGAGAGAGAGAGAGAGAGAGAGAGAGAGAAAAGCAAAAGACTCGGCAGACGATGCAACATCCCCTCCAATGAAAAGCAGGGGTGCCACTAGCACGTTAAGAGACAACACAATAAATGTCAGGGGCCCAAGACTGTTCAACTGCCTCCCAGCATACATAAAGGGGATTACCAATAGACCCCTGGCTGTCTTCAAGCAGGCACTGGACAAGCACCTAAAGTCGGTACCTGACCAGCCTGGGCTGTGGTTTGTACGTTGGATTGCGTGCAGCCAGCAGTAACAGCCTGGTTGATCAGGCCTTGATCCACCATGAGGCCTGGTCACAGACCGGGCCGCGGGGGCGTTGACCCCCGGAACTCTCTCCAGGTAAACTCCAGAGAGAGTTAGTGGTATTCACCACAACAGTGTACACAACATTACACAGGAACACAGGATTCAGCGCCGCAACACTGCAACAGGCCTACCTGGAGTTTACCTGGAGAGAGTTCCGGGGGTCAACGCCCCCGCGGCCCGGTCTGTGACCAGGCCTCCTGGTGGATCAGAGCCTGATCAGAGCCTAGCTGACCATTAGCACTCACTCTCAGTCTTGTGATGAGCAGTGCCAGTATCCCAGTTGTTAATCTTAAGAATGTTGACAATCTCGTACTTGAAGGAGTTGATGTCCTGCTTCACCTCATTGATGTCGTCCTCGTTGATGGAGCGATCGTCCGTCAGCCTCTGTTCCTTTGTTACGTAGCGTCGTACCAGGTTCCTCATCACACCCTGAAATGAACATCAACGGACTCATGAACACAGCCTCATCACCCCTAGTGTGCCTCCTTTAGTATCCCACCGAGGCAGGGTGACCCTACAAGGAAAACCCAAAAAGAAGAAAAAGAACTTTCACCATACATAATCATTGTCTTTGCAAAGGCGCTCAGATACGACAGTTTAGATATCCCTCCAAACTGCCAATATCTCAAACCCCTCCTTTGAAGTGCAGTCATTGTACTTCTCATTTCCAGGACTCAAGTCCGGCTAACAGGTTTCCCTGAATCCCTTCACAAACTATTACCCTGCTCACACTCCAGCAGCTCGTAAGGTCCCAAAAACCTTTCGTGTCCATTCACTCCTATCTAACATGCTCACGCACGCTTGCTGGAAGTCCAAGCCCTCCGCCCACAAAACCTCCTTTACCCCTTGAGGAAATTAAAATTGAATCAGGGTATACAACAAATTCTAACCATACAACAGAGCGAAAAGTAATGTTAAGGACCTGGGAGTGATAATGTCAGAGAATCTCGCCTGCAAAGACAACAACAATATATCTAGCACATCCGTTAGGAAAATGATAGGACTGATAACGAGAACCTTCAAAACTAGGGACACCAAGCCCATGATGATTCTCTTCAAATTGCATGTTCTCTCTTGGCTGGAATACTGCTCTACATTAACTGCCCTCTTCAAGGCTGGTGACATTGCTGACCTGAAGAGTGTACAAAGAACTTTCAAGGCACACAAAAGTACGATAAGTCACCTAAATTACTGGGAACGGTTGAAGGCCCTTGATCTGTATTCCCTCGAACACAGGCGAGAGAGATACATGACATTATACACTTGGAAAATCCAGGAGTGGTTAGTACCAAACTTGCACACGAAAATCACTCCCTATGAAAACAAAAGACTCGGCAGGAGATGCAACATTCCTCCAATGAAAAGCAGGGGCACCACGAGTACATTGAGAGACAACACTATAAGTGTCAGGGGCCCAAGACTGTTCAACTGCCTCCCAGCATACATAAGGGGGATTACCAATAGACCCCTGGCTGTCTTCAAGCAGGCACTGGACAAGCACCTAAAGTCGGTACCTGACCAACCGGGATGTGATTCGTACGTCAGTTTGCGTGCGGCCAGCAGTAACAGCCTGGTTGATCAGACCCTGATCCGCCAGGTGTTGACCTCCGAAAACCTCTCCAGGTAAACTCCAGGTAACCCCCTCCCAATATATATAATTAATATATATATATATATATAATATATATATATATATATATATATATATATATATAATATATATATATATATATATATATATATGCAAAACAACCACTGTGAAAGATTAGTGAAATTCCAAGCGCAACTCCCACAACAAACACCTGACGCGGGACAATACCAGACTCATAAGAAGAGGAACACTGCAGTTGGTCCGCTACACACCACACACACACACATATATATATATATATATATATATATATATATATATATATATATATATATATATATATATATATATATATATAATATATATATATAATACTCTCACCTGATACTGGGACTCCCTGAGTGTGTCCTGGCGGTGCTTGAAGGAGGCTCTGGGTACCTTCTTGCTCATGGCCACCAGGGCACCGAAATTTGGCACCAGGTTGAAAGGTGAGGGCAGCTCTCTGCCCTCCTCGAAGTAACTCATCCACAGTCTGGACCTCGCGAACTTCCACTCTGTATCGCACTTGGCCTGAAACGGAAGGTGAGAGTGAAGCAGTGGAGGCTGATGTATGTACCTGGCCTTGTATATCTTTATTTATTAGTGCAATGGGCTCACAACTGTAAGGTCCTTAGTTCGAATTTTGGGCTGGATGGGCTAAAGAAAACATGTGTAGGTACCTCGGATTGTTACTCACCCGGGATATTCCTAAAACACTAAAGTAAACCTATTTACAATCAACTAACTCCCGAGTTTCTGTTTACTGCAAGGTGAACAGGGAGAAGTAAGTGAACATTTGTCCGTGTGTCTTACACCGCCTGTGAATCGAACTCGGCTCTTTTCGTTTTTGAGTCAAAGTCTGCAAGACCTACTCGTCACATGTACACTTACTTTTATTATCTTTATTCCATTGTTTTTCCAACTGCTATAATTATTACCATAGATACCTTTCTTACCCTCACTATGTCTACCACCATAATTATTTATACTATGGCTATTATTACTACCCTTTCTGCTACTTTCACTGTTATTGTCATTTTTACAACTATTGCTTCAACCAAACTACTGCTACTACTACTACTACCATCACCACCACTACTACTACTACTACTACTAATACTATGGAAAATTTTATAGGGGGTTACCTGTATGTACCTCAACATTACATGCATACTAGTAATCTCATTGGGAGACAACAACCATATTGTTTACCGTAGTCACCCGTGTAGACATGTGAGAAAACTTAGCCACCCCTGGTCACTGCAGGTGGTCCCTTCGACCTCATAATCTTATCCATATCTATCCGAGACCAGTATAAATTGGGTAGCACCCACAAGTACGGCGCTACTAATTAATTGTGGACTGTATAGATTATATTAGTTTAACTGAATGAAGGGGAGGGGGGTAGGTTACACATGGATATATCCATCAAGGAAAAACACTTGTATATAATTCCACCACTTACCAGATATTCTCTGGTAGTCACTTGATATAGCTGGATCACCCACAACCTATCCAATTACAACATACCTAACTGGCCAGTATCAGTCTGTTGTAACTAGAAGGGTTACTTAACTGTGGGTGACTAATGCTCCTTATTTCCTCCATTCACCATCTCATTTCGATGTCCTGCTACACCGACACGGTTCTTATTCCAACAGGACGAGGTATCCGTTGGTTTGTCCCGGTTTAAAAGTCGTGACTCCATAAAAACTTCACTGTCCTCGGGACAGGAACACGAGGTAAACAGATGCTCACTGAGAACGGCGACTCATTTCACTTCACATATTCTCTTAACTTGGTGTTATTATCACTGATTACTTCTTAGCCCACCATACAGTTTAATGTCTCATAATTATTATACACATTGGAGGCCACTCCATTAAGATCTGAGACCGATGAGTGATGATTAAATCATGGGTATTTTTCCCTGGGACACTCCATGGCGATGCGCCAGTCACCACCTGTCCTACCATTATTCACTAATTTTGCCACTTTATTACGGTGGTCCCGTAAATCATGTTCCCTCACTCTTCACCAGGAACAGTTACGACACTTCCTATTATGAAGTGAGGCCTATATTAATCCTTAGGCCGCCGTGAACGCCAATTTCCTGGTCCCATGCTTTCCCAGTCCAGTATTGGGCCCCTACTTAAACAAGATGGATCCTACACAGATGACAGCAAGGAAATGAGTGAGCTACTCAAGTCCCAATATGACTCAGTTTTTAGCAAGCCGCTAACCAGACTGAGAGTCGAAGATCAAAAAGAATTTTTTATGGGAGAGCCACAGAATTTGGTTAACACAAGCCTATCCGATGTTATCCTGACGCCAAATGACTTTGAACAGGCGATAAATGACATGCCCGTGCACTTTGCCCCAGGGCCAAACTCATGGAACTCCGTGTTCATCAAGAACTGCAAGAAGCCCCTATCACGAGCCTTTACCATCCTATGGAGAGGGAGCATGGACACGGGGGTCGTCCCACAGTTACTAAAAACAACAGACATAGCCCCACTCCACAAAGGGGGCAGTAAAGCAACAGCAGAGAACTACAGACCGATAGCACTAACATCCCATATCATAAAAATCTTTGAAAGGGTCCTAAGAAGCAAGATCACCACCCATCTAGAAACCCATCAGTTACACAACCCAGGGCAACATGGGTTTAGAACAGGTCGCTCCTGTCTGTCTCAACTATTGGATCACTACGACAAGGTCCTAGATGCACTAGAAGACAAAAAGAATGCAGATGTATTATATACAGACTTTGCAAAAGCCTTCGACAAGTGTGACCATGGCGTAATAGCGCACAAAATGCGTGCTAAAGGAATAACAGGAAAAGTCGGTCGTTGGATCTATAATTTCCTCACTAAAAGAACACAGAGAGTAGTAGCCAACAGAGTAAAGTCCGAGGCAGCTACGGTGAAAAGCTCTGTTCCACAAGGCACAGTACTCGCTCCCATCTCATATCCCATCCTCATATCTGACATGGACAAGGATGTCAGCAACAGCACCGTGTCTTCCTTTGCAGATGACACCCGAATCTGCATGACAGTGTCTTCCATTGCAGACACTGCAAGGCTCCAGGCAGACATCAACCAAATCTTTCAGTGGGCTGCAGAAAACAATATGAAGTTCAACGATGAGAAATTTGAATTACTCAGATATGGTAAACACGAGGAAATTAAATCTTCATCAGAATACAAAGCAAATTCTGGCCACAAAATAGAGCGAAACACCAACGTCAAAACCTGGGAGTGATCATGTCGGAGGATCTCATCTTCAAGGACCATAACATTGTATCAATCGCATCTGTTAGAAAAATGACAGGATGGATAATGAGAACCTTCAAAACTAGGGAGGCCAAGCCCATGATGACACTCTTCAGGTCACTTGTTCTATCTAGGCTGGAATATTGCTGCACACTAACAGCACCTTTCAAGGCAGGTGAAATTGCTGACCTAGAAAATGTACAGAGAACCTTCACGGCGCACATAACGGAGATAAAACACCTCAATTACTGGGAGCGCTTGAGGTTCCTAAACCTGTATTCCATGGAACGCAGGCGGGAGAGATACATGATTATATACACCTGGAAAATCCTAGAGGGACTAGTACCGAACTTGCACACGAAAATCACTCACTACGAAAGCAAAGCTGGCACTGGACAAGCACCTAAAGTCGGTTCCTGACCAGCCGGGCTGTGGCTCGTACGTTGGTTAGCGTGTAGCCAGCAGTAACAGCCTGGTTGATCAGGCTCTGATCCACTAGGAGGTCTGGTCACAGACCGGGCCGCAGGGGCGTTGACCCCCAGAACTCTCTCCAGGTAACTCCATTCCAAACACCCCCGCTCCCTGATGCCCCGTCTCCCTGCCCATCAGCGCAGGCGCAAAGCTTCTCTGTTGGTTCTAGTCCATTTTCAAGTACATTTTTGACCCATATCGACACATTAAACACCTATTAGGCACTATAGCTTCGGAAGATTAAGATAATTTCCACAAATACCATCACCACCACCACTACTACTACTACCATCACCACCACTACTACTACTACTACTACTACTACTACTATCACCACTACTACTACTACTACTACTACCATCACCACTACTACTACTACTACTACCATCATCACCACCACTACTACTACCATCACCACCACTACTACTACTACTACTGCTGCTACCATCACCACTACTACTACTACCATCACCACCACTACTACTACTACTACCATCACCACCACCACTACTACTACTACTATCACCACCACTACTACTACTACTACCATCCACCACCACTACTACTACTACCATCACCACACACTACTAACCATCACCACTACTACTACCACCATCACCACCACTACTACTACTACTACCACCATCACTACTACTACCATCACCACCACTACTAGTACACTACTACTACCATCACCACTACTACTACTACTACCATCACCACCACTACTACTACTACTATTACTACCATCACCACCACTACTACTACTACTACTACTACCACCATCACCACCACGACTACTACTACTACTACTACCACCATCACCACCACTACTACTACTACTACTACCATCACCACCACTACTACTACTATTACTACCATCACCACTACTAACTACTACTGTCATCACTACCACCACTACTACTACTACTACTACTACTATCACCACTACTACTACTACTACCATCACCACCACTACTACTACCATCATCACCACCACTAATACTACTACCATCATCAACCACTACTACATTACCATCACCACCACCACCACTACTACACTACTACCATCACACCACACTACTACTACTCCTCTACTACCACACCACTATATACTACTACCATACCTCCACTACTACTACTACTACTACTACCACCACCACCATCACCACCCACACTACTACTCTACTACCATCACCACCACTACACTATTTCTACTACTTACAACCATCACCACTACTACTACTCTACCATCACCACCACTACTACTACTACTACTACTACTACTATCACCTCCACTACTACTACTACTACCATCACCCACCACTACTACTACTTTACTACTACTACCATCACCACTATACTACTACTACTTCCATCACCACCACTATTACTTACTACTACATCATCACCACCACTACTACTACTACTACTTCTACCATCATCACCACCATTACTACTACCATCACCACCACTACTACTACTACTACTACTACTACTACTCTACCATCATCACCACCATTACTACTACCATCACCACCACTACTACTACTACTTCTACCATCACCACCATTACTACTACTACTTCTACCATCACCACCACCACTACTACTACTACTTCTACTACCATCACCACTACTACTACTACTACCATCACCACCACCACTACTACTATTACTTACTGCTACCATCACCACTACTACTACTACTACTACTACTACCATCACCACCACCACTACTACTATTACTACTGCTACCATCACCACCACTACTACTACTACTACTACCATCAACGCCACCACTACTACTACTACTACCATCACCACCACTACTACTACTACTACTACCATCACCACCACCACTACTACTATTACTACTGCTACCATCACCACCACCACTACTACTACTACCATCACCACCACCACTACTACTACTACCATCACCACCACCACCACTACTACTATTACTACTGCTACCATCACCACCACCACTACTACTACTACTACCATCACCACCACCACTACTACTATTACTACTGCTACCATCACCACCACTACTACTACTACTACCATCACCACCACCACTACTACTACTACCATCACCACCACCACCACTACTACTATTACTACTGCTACCATCACCACCACTACTACTACTACTACTACCATCATCGCCACCACTACTACTACTACCACCACCATCACCACCACCACTACTAATACAACTACTAACATCAACAACAACATCCACGACTCACACAAATGAAGGCGTACGAGTTGGACATCATGGCGATGAGGAGGTTGAGTAAGACAATAACATTAATTACATTGTAGGATCCAAATATAAGCATACTCCAGAACCTGGTGTACGATTTGATCCCCGTCAATTCAAACACCCTGAGGTCCACCAGGCCGAACGATGCCCAGAACAGCGACTGGGAAGTTTCGAACAGGCTGGAGGAAATGGCGAGATAGGATTAAGAAAGATGTTAATGTGTATCAGGCCAATTTGTGAGCGCATGAAATGTTTTGATTTATTAATCTGTCTAAATCATTATCCCTCCTCTCACTATATCTGTGCAGGAGAGCCTGAGGAACCTTCGCTAGGCTTCCTGAAGGAGCCTAATGTTATTTACTCACTTTGAGAACCTCCGCCAGATAGCACAGGAGTTCTCCTGGGTGGGGTTCCTGGCGCCACCGGGCAGAGAGTAACACTTGCGCATGTCCATGTCAGCGTAGTACCACAGCAGCTGGTTCAGACCTGGGGAGGAGGAACAGTATTGTAGATGAATGGTTCAGAGAACCGACACGTTGATAAATTAGACACATGTGCAACTCTTGCGTGGGGTGTGCTAGACAGCACACCCCACCACTTTTCATAAACCTGAACTTGCTAAATATACGAGATATAAATTCATATTATTGTGCCTACTATATATACAGAACATTAAACTCCAATATAAACCTTCCACTTAAACTCCTCCCTGACAGCTACAACAGTCACAATACAAGACATAAGTCTCTCTTCAACATCCCTCGTCTTAGTCTCACACTCTGCAAAAATACAGTGCACATAAAGGGCCCGAAGATCTGGAATTCACTTCCTGAACTGTTAAAGGCTCCTCTGACTACTTATAAATTTAGGACTTCGCTTAAAAATCATCTCATCTCTCAATACTAACTAAACCAACCAAAACTTCTAATCAGTTATCATAATATATAAACTATAGTTTAAGAAACATCTGCCAATCCATGAAATATTACTGTTTGTGACCATTAATTGTAATATTTTTTTTATTATGTGCAACGACAACATTATTATTTATAAACTTCCACCTTGACTACCTCACATTAGTGTTAAGATTAAATTAAGATTTTAATACAAGTTAACCACTCTTATCCTGTCTAGATTTAAGTAGTTATTATGTACTAGGATCAGTCTGCCAGAAATACCCAGGCATGTTAGTGACTTTCTTTGTACTTAACAAACCAAAATTGTAATTACGTATTATAACCTTTACAAAGAAATAAAACTTTAGCGTTATCTTTTTATGTCACGTGACATGAGAGGAGCGGCTTATAAGACCGTGACCAGCTTTATGATAAGACCGTGACTAGCTTTATGATAAGACCGTGACCAGCTTTATGATAAGACCGTGACCAGCTTTATGATAAGACCGTGACCAGCTTTATGATAAGACCGTGACCAGCTTTATGATAAGACCGTGACCAGCTTTATGATAAGACCGTGACCAGCTTTATATGTTGATTAGTGTTGTCTGGCCCAGGAGGTGGAACTCGAGTCCCGTAAATACAAGTGCTTGTGTCCCCACAAGCTCAAATTCGTAACTGCATACAAGCAAATAGGTACACACACACGCACACACACACATACACACACACACACACACACACTCACACACTACTCACCGCAGCCAAAAGCGAAAAGAACGAGGGTGTAGATGAAAAAGAACTTGATAATGTCTATGACCATCCTGCCGAGAGCTATCTGTAGAGGACCCATGTGATGGTTGACGCTGAAGATGTGTACCAGCTTCAGGAAACTGTAGAGACAAAACAAAAGGTGATGCATCTCATCTCCCGGTCAGTTTGTGAGATTTCATCGTTCTTCTACTTCCGTGGGAGGTATTCACGTTACTTCAGAGTAAATGTAAGGAAAGGTGTGAGGTGAGGTGAAGCAAGGATGTGAGGTGGGTAGGTAAAGTTTGAGAGTTGCAGCTAGGAAGTGAGATAGTGAGCTAGGCTCGCGTCTGAATGAATCCGAGTTCGATTCCTGGGCGAGTCGTATGAACAAGTCTCGTTATATATGCCGGCCATATTTACCCAGCAATAAATAGGCTCTTAAAAATTAACTGGACGTTGTTAGTCACATCCTAAAGGAGAACTCGGATATAAATAATCTATACATTTTGGTTTTCTTGGGTTAGCTTGGGTTAATCTTGAAGATGTTTTCCTCATCCAGAAGCAAAAACTTTTCGCACCATATGATGGTACCTTCTAACACTAAATAAGCTGTTATGATGGTACCTTCTAACACTAAATAAGCTGTTATGATGGTACCTTCTAACACTAAATAAGCTGTTATGATGGTACCTTCTAACACTAAATAAGCTGACATGATGGTACCTTCTAACACTAAATAAGCTGTTATGATGGTACCGTCTAACACTAAATAAGCTGTTATGATGGTACCTTCTAACACTAAATAAGCTGACATGATGGTACCTTCTAACACCAAACAGGCTTATATGATTGTATCTTTTTCTCCTAGATACTAATCTCACTTCCAGCATCAAAATCACTGCCTTTAAAACACACCTTAGGATGTTGCCAGCGCCGAACATTCCCTCAGAAATGAGCATGGGGTCGAAATCAGGCCACATCTCTCTCGGGAAGTAAGGGTCTTGCCCCTGAGACACTGCCCGCTGTGTCAGGAAAAAAGCTGTCAACCTGAAACACCCACAGCACACTGATCAATAACAGTAACTTGCTCGGCTATCTAAACCTTGGGGCTCAGTCCCTGGACCCATTATGTGCCTCTGTAATCTTTTGACTACCGCCCACACCATGGGTAGAATAAAACTGTAGGCCAATATGTTAGCTAATATTCTCAAAGATTCCATTATTTTTATTATTTCATTTTTCTAAAAATAACATAAGATGGCAATGAAAATTACGAGCGGCCCATGTCCTTTCACATGCTATTACATTACTTTTTAACAAGTCACTAGAAACTAGCACTTTCCCGACAGTACTCAAGACAACAAGGGTCACACCATTATAAAGGTGGTGACCCTACAGATGTAAACAACTACATACCAATATCAAACTTACCATTGCTATCCAAAATCTTCGAGAAACTCGTGCACAGGAGACTATATTCATTTATAACAGCACAAAACATATTCAACCCCTGCCAATTTGGCTTCAGAAAAAATAAAAGCACTAATGATGCAATTGTAAAAATGCTAGATCTGCTTTACACAACATTGGAAAATAAGGAATATCCGCTAGGACTTTTTATTGACCTAAGAAAAGCTATTGACACAGTAGACCACGGCATCCTACTCCACAAACTTGACCATTATGGTATAAGAGGCCATGCGCTTGCATATTTCAAATCCTACCTTACTAATAGGTATCAGTATGTCACCATTAAAAGACACAGCCTCATCAACACGGCCATTTGATACTGGAGTTCCGCAGGGAAGTATCCTTGGTCCCCTGCTCTTCCTCATTTACATCAATGATCTTTCAAACATATCACAACACCTGAAACCCATTCTCTTTGCTGACGACATGACTTACATCTCCCACCCAAATCTTGCCTCCCTCAGCACCATTGTTAACGAGGAGCTGCTCAAAATATCTACTTGGATGACAGCCAATAAACTTACACTTAACACTGACAAAACCTACTATATTATGTTTGGTAGCAGAGTAGGGGTTGCGCAACTTAACATTAAGATCAACAACACTCTAACTGCCGGACATAATAAGGGCAAATTCCTAGGCCTATACCTCGACAACAACCTGAATTTCAGCACCCATATCCAACACATAACAAAAAAAGTATCCAAAACGGTTGGGATCCTCTCCAAGATACGATACTACGTGCCACAAACTGCCCTTCTCACACTATACCATTCACTCATTTATCCATACCTAACCTATGCTATTTGTGCTTGGGGATCAACTGCAACAACACACCTAAAGCCAATAATAACCCAACAAAAAGCCACAGTAAGAATAATCATGCAATCCCATCCCTGGCAACACCCCCCCCCCCCACTCTTCATAGATCTAAACTTACTCGCTGTTCAGTACATCCACACTTACTACTGTGCAATCTACATCTAGAGGACCTAAAATTCCAACATTAACCCTGACCTAAAAAGTTTTCTTCCACAGGCATAACACCAGACACAAACATCTCTTGACATTCCTCGTGTCCAACTAAACTTTTACAAAAATTCAATGTACTTCAGAGGGCCTAAAATCTGGAACACCCTACCTGAAAACTCTAGAACTGCAGACACACTCATCATTTTCAAAACTACCATTAGAAAACATCTTATCTCCCTGATACACTCCACCGTCAGCTAACTACATGAAAACCACCTGGTGGTTCACACTTATACTCACTCACTCACCCAATTGACTATAAACACAGAAATACGAATCTTAAATTAATGACTCCTAACTAGTCACAAGTTTCCCTGTGATACTCCAATATAGAAACTATGTATTGTACCAAAACAAAAGCATTCACATTGCTAAATTTACAAACTGTAATGTAGTTACTTAGCCTTAATACCAACTTGCTCCATAATCTGTAATAATTTAGAGATATGAATTAATCTTAGTCTGCCCGAAATGCCTAGCCATGCTAAGGTGTGATAGTGGCCCCCTCTGTAACTAGTACTTTATAACATGTAAACCACACAATATCCTAAAATATGTAAACTCCGCATTGTAATCTTTATAGAGAATAAACTTGATTTGATTTGATTTGATGGTAAAGGAGCCGATTCCATGCAACACATACATATAACAACACATCAATTTGCAACATCAACCAGGCAGTATCAAAGACGTCAGATCGTCATCACTGACATCTGAGATGCACGACCTTCCACTGTAGGTCAGCTGACTACCGGACAACTTATTGGGTGCTTCCAGCTCCCTGGAATCACTCGGAGGAGGACTGAACTTCCATCACTCTTTGTGCTAAGTAAACACACAAGGATTTGACGCTTCACACAGCTATAATAAACTCACAAAATGGTTTACATCTCATATATATGAAGGTACATTGTTGGAAGAGCTAATCTTTCTTGGGGAATATAAAGAAAGATGGCTGGCGGACCTAACACCGATAGACGTGTGAACAAAAGTACATCTTCTAGTAATTTTCTTGCATGATGCTGATGAAGGACTCTTGAGCCAAGGAGTTAGAGCTACTCTCTCTCCCTAGGATCAAATCGAACTGCTTTCCCTTCCCCAAGTGCTGCATAAACTCTATGGATTTAGTGCTTCTTCGTGAACGTTAATAATAATAATTATTATTATTATTGTATTATTATTATTGTTATTATTATTATTATTATTATTGCCATAATGATAGTTAAACAGAATTAGAAATAGAAGTGAAAGGAAAAAGGAGATAATATATACTAAAGAAAAAGAAATCATCTCTAGATAAAGCTTACATAGTCTGACTTCGACTTGTCTAGTCACCTGAGAAAAATCCAGTTCATGTAGAAGAAATTGGTGATGTAGTCGACGATGTTCCAGAGATCCTTGAGGTACTCGGCCAGTCCGTCCTCCCACAGGCTCCTCATCTCACCCCAAATGAATCCGAAGATGAAGATGACGATGAGTATCTCTACCATAGAAGGAAAGCCTCCCCTCGCCTCCCTCTGATACTGACGAAGTAGCTCCAGCATCCACTGGCTCCCGAAGAGCTCAATCACCTGCGTCTCAACCCTCAGCGACACCACCACCAGCAGCACTGGAGGTGACAAGGGAGGAAGATTTTCAGTTACTTGATTTTTATTGAAAATAACTTGTATGGGATGATGGAGTGAGTAAGGAGACAAGGGATGCGTGAGAGGTGTTGGGGATGTGTTCACTCATGGTGTTGATGACGAAATGTAAACATGAGAGACAGAAGGGATAAGAATAGAAGTTTTGGTGTGCGTGAGAAAGAAAGACAAATAGACAGACAGAAATACAGATAGAGAAGGAATAAGAAAGGCTAACAGAATGTAAATGACTACATTTATTTAAACTCCTTGAACGTCTATGGGCTGAACTCAGTCACATAAGGTACGAAGCTTCCGATGTGAGTTACCTGCAGGGTACAAGGATAAGGAACTCACAGAGGTAAAACAAGAAGGAAGACTCACAGAGAAAGAACCAGCTCATGAAGAGAGGTTGCAGGCAAGCAAGAAGGAACCGGTTCGTTGAGAAATATTAGAGACAAGTGAGCAAGATGAAAGAACAGAAAGAGGCATCAGCAAGAAGAATAAACGGCTACTCACACAAGAAGAGTGAACCAAACTCATATAGGAAGAAACACTAGCAAGAAGAATGGACTTAGCCCACATAGAACGAAGCAGTAGTAGAAAGAGTGAACACAACTTACAGAGGAAGAAGCAGTAGCAGAAAGAGTGAACACAACTCACAGAGGAAGAAGCAGTAGCAGAAAAAGTGAACACAACTCACAGAGGAAGAAGCAGTAGCAGGAAGAGTGAACACAACTCACAGAGGAAGAAGCAGTAGCAGAAAGAGTGAACACAACTCACAGAGGAAGAAGCAGTAGCAGAAAGAGTGAACACAGCTCACAGAGGAAGAAGCAGTAGCAGGAAGAGTGAACACAACTCACAGAGGAAGAAGCAGTAGCTGAAAGAGTGAACACAACTCACAGAGGAAGAAGCAGTAGCAGGAAGAGTGAACGATGAATTTGATGAAAGGTTTCTTCATGGCGGTGCCATAGGAAGAGTTAGGGCACAAGACGAATGCGATGCAGTAGATGGGGAAGATGCAGCCTATCTTAGCAACATCTATGACCTGGTGCAGGAGGCTGCGACGCTTAAAGCCAGGCATGCCGTCATACCACACCCGAGCCAGCAGCTGCTGCACGTTAGAGTGGGCCACAAACTGACTCAGAAGAAACAAGATCACACCTCAAAATATATTTGACATAGTCAATCTTTCCACAATGAAGAGTTCTCATTTCCTCGAAGTATTGGAAAGACTGTTCAAAATACTAATTTTAAAAATACAACAATAATGATTAGTGTTTAAGCCGTTTCCTACGATTGCAGTGTGTCGAAAATCTGTCACGATACTTTTATCATTCCTTGTGGCAACTCTTCTTACTCGTGGTTTTTCCAATCACAACCCTCTCTCAGCCAGTCTCATCTGTATCTCCAACAACTACATTTGTCTCTCCAGCAACATTATTTGCCCACCAACAGCCGGAACACTCACCAACAATCGATGCAGCATCACCAATAACAGCATCCATCTCTCCAACAAACCAGCAGCAAACAATATTCACCTACCGACTTCTGGTTGTTATTGACCGCGTCCTTGAGCCGGGCGAGATGCATGAAATCACCATGCTGGTAGGGCACGCCCTCGGGGTCGTAGTTGAGCATTATCTCCAGCTCGGTGATGGTTCTAGTTTCCTCCACCAGAGCCATGGAGAACTCCTCTACCTGCTGCCTCAGGGACTGTAACCACCACACAAACGAATGTTAATTCGACATATTGAAGTTTATGGCACAAACGGAGCCAGAATGTTTTATGTTATCCATGTGAGTTCGTTCGTGCCATTGATCACTGTTTATTACACTTATGTTTATATCAAGGCGTGTGTATGTGTGTGTGTGTGTGTGTGTGTGTGTGTGTGTGTGTGTGTGTGTGTGTGTGTGTGTGTGTGTGAGCTGAGAACTCAAAATATTGCAATGTAATAACCTAGAAGAAATGGAATGTATGGGCCTGAACTTGTATAGTGATTGCCAGACTGAGTTACTCTGAACGTGACAAAGTTCCGTGATGGGGGAGTTGAGATACGAGTACCGTATAGCAGGTTGAAGTACACGTACCGTGTAGTCGTCCATAAACTCGTTTTCCAAGCCGGCTAGGTTCTCCAAGTCCTCACTCAGGGTAAAGGCGGTGACCAACGGGTCCTTACTTGAGAGACAGATGAGGGACGGGGAAGACAGGGCCTTGTAGGCGTTGATCCTCGAGTGTGAGTGTCTGGTGAAGAACTTATTGAGTGGTTTATCATGGGAAATTTTAAGCTGGTGTGGGTTGTTCAGTGTGATGACTGATGGAGGCTCGATCCTCTCTCTCCTCTGATAGCGAGACAGACACAACACATACCAGCTTATTGACTACTGCTACTGCCATGTTAGCAGTTATGTGGGCGGTGTGGTGATTGTGACTCTATGCTGGTACGTACGTACGTAGGTATTAACATGAAAACGTGTGTGTTGTTATCTATTTGAAGTGGTACTACAAGGTATAGAGGAGGCTATGCACACACACACACACACACACACACACACACACACACACACACACACATACACACATTTAACACACTGGCCGTCTCCCACCAAGGAAGGGTGACTCGTGAAGAAGAAGAAATACACTAAATATCATTAATTCAATAACTGTTTTGCCACAAGTGCCCAAACATTACATTATTATTATAATCAAGGGGAAGCGCTAAACCCATAGGATTATACAGCGTCTGGGAGGGGGGATGTGGAAGGCATTCAGGCTTAATTCGGGGAACTGGAGCACAGATCCAATTCCCTAAATCAAGAGCCCCTCACCAACATCAAGGAACCTTCCCTGAGGGGCCCAAACATTACAATTCAAATAACTCTTCGAAGTGCCACATCCCCACCCCTCCTTCAGAGTACAGGTTCTATACTTCCCTCTTAATTCCCACCCTTCATAAATGTTACCTAGCTCACACTCCAACAGCACGTCAAGCCATAAGAACCACGTGTTTCCACTCCTGTGTAACACGGTCACACACACCTGTTGAATACTCGAGTCCTTAGTAATCAAAGCCTCATTTAACCCGTCTATTCAGTCCTTCATTAAAGGACCCCTACCCTTCCTTCCATCCCAGATTTAAAAACCCTCTTTGTCATCCTATTTTTTTCTCCATTCTCTCTAAATTCCCAACCCTCCTCAGCAACCCATCCTCAGCACTCCGGCTTCTAATTTCTACGCTCCGATTTCTGTGCATAATATTTATACCACATGCTGTTCTCAAACATGACATCTCCACTACCTCTAGCTTCTCCTCTCTACAACTTTAAGCGCCCGTGTCTTGTACCAATGTACCACTTTACTCTGATACATTCCCTTTTCTGCCTCCATAGATAAACTTTCTTTCCACAGAAGGTCGAGAGGCAGAGCTCAGGGAAAGAGATTGTTTCCAGCAAACTCGTCACTCACCCTCTGACTCAAAACCAATATATTCTTACAGTCACCAATTCATCCACAAGACCAACCTGAGTGAATCATCGGCACTAGAGACGAGGCACTCATCACAGGCACACTTCACGTCGTGGGGCATGGGAAGCGTGGCACCTCGATCCAGCAGCAGCTTCAGGATTTCGTAATTATTCCTATGAGCGGCCAGGATCAACGGAGTGATGTCAGGAGTGAAGGTTGTCCTCTCAAAGTTGGTCTTCTCCCAAGACTGGAGGAATATAAGAAGGGAAGGGAATGAGACAGCGGCTTTGTAACACTGATGATTGTAACATTTGTCTTTGTCTAGCAACACCGATTATGTGACTACAACACCATGTATCTTACACCATGTATCTTACACTATGTATCTTACACTATGTATCTTACACTATGTATCTTACACTATGTATCTTACACTATGTATCTTACACCATGTATCTTACACTATGTATCTTACACTATGTATCTTACACTATGTATCTTACACTATGTATCTTACACCATGTATCTTACACTATGTATCTTACACTATGTATCTTACACTATGTATCTTACACTATGTATCTTACACCATGTATCTTACACTATGTATCTTACACTATGTATCTTACACTATGTATCTTACACTATGTATCTTACACCATGTATCTTACACTATGTATCTTACACTATGTATCTTACACTATGTATCTTACACTATGTATCTTACACCATGTATCTTACACTATGTATCTTACACTATGTATCTTACACCATGTATCTTACACCATGTATCTTACACCATGTATCTTACACCATGTATCTTACACTATGTATCTTACACTATGTATCTTACACTATGTATCTTACACCATGTATCTTACACCATGTATCTTACACTATGTATCTTACACTATGTATCTTACACCATGTATCTTACACTATGTATCTTACACCATGTATCTTACACTATGTATCTTACACTATGTATCTTACACTATGTATCTTACACTATGTATCTTACACTATGTATCTTACACCATGTATCTTACACCATGTATCTTACACCATGTATCTTACACCATGTATCTTACACCATGTATCTTACACTATGTATCTTACACTATGTATCTTACACCATGTATCTTACACCATGTATCTTACACCATGTATCTTACACCATGTATCTTACACTATGTATCTTACACTATGTATCTTACACCATGTATCTTACACTATGTATCTTACACCATGTATCTTACACTATGTATCTTACACCATGTATCTTACACTATGTATCTTACACCATGTATCTTACACTATGTATCTTACACTATGTATCTTACACTATGTATCTTACACCATGTATCTTACACTATGTATCTTACACCATGTATCTTACACTATGTATCTTACACTATGTATCTTACACCATGTATCTTACACTATGTATCTTACACCATGTATCTTACACTATGTATCTTACACCATGTATCTTACACTATGTATCTTACACTATGTATCTTACACTATGTATCTTACACCATGTATCTTACACTATGTATCTTACACTATGTATCTTACACCATGTATCTTACACCATGTATCTTACACCATGTATCTTACACTATGTATCTTACACCATGTATCTTACACTATGTATCTTACACCGTGTATCTTACACCATGTATCTTACACTATGTATCTTACACTATGTATCTTACACCGTGTATCTTACACTATGTATCTTACACTATGTATCTTACACTATGTATCTTACACTATGTATCTTACACCATGTATCTTACACCATGTATCTTACACTATGTATCTTACACTATGTATCTTACACTATGTATCTTACACTATGTATCTTACACTATGTATCTTACACTATGTATCTTACACCATGTATCTTACACTATGTATCTTACACTATGTATCTTACACTATGTATCTTACACTATGTATCTTACACTATGTATCTTACACTATGTATCTTACACCATGTATCTTACACTATGTATCTTACACTATGTATCTTACACTATGTATCTTACACTATGTATCTTACACCATGCATCTCACATCATGTATCTTACACTATGTATCTTACACCATGTATTTTACACTATGTATCTTACACTATGTATCTCACACCATGTATCTACATCATGTATCTTACACCACGTAACTTCCTGACAAATAGAACACAAAGAGTAATAATAAACAGAGTAAAGTGTGAGGCAGCCACAGTGAAAAGCTCTGTTCCACAAGGCACAGTACTCGCACCCATTCTATTCCTCATCCTCATTTCTGACATAGACAGAGATGTAAGTCATAGGTCCGTGTCTTCCTTTGCATATGACACCCGGATTACCATGGCAGTGACCTCCATCGAAGACACTGCGAGACTTCAAACGAACTTCAACCAAATCTTCGAATGGGCCACTCAAAACAATATGAAGTTCAACGAGGAGAAATTTCAACTACTCAGATATGGAAAACTTGAGGAGATTAAAAATGTATCGGGGTATGCGACAAATTCTAACCATACAATAGAGAGAAAAAGTAATGTGAAGGTCCTGGGAGTGATAATGTCAGAGGATCTCGCCTTCAAAGACCACAACAATGTATCTACCTCATCCGCTAGGAAAATGATAGGATGGATAATGAGAACCTTCAAAACTAGGGACGCCAAGCCCATGATGATTCTCTTCAAATCGCTTGTGTTCTCTAGGCTGAAATACTGTTGTACACTAACTTCCCCCTTCAAAGCTGGCGACATTCCAGATCTGGAGAGTGTACAAAGAACTTTCACGGCACACATAAGTGCGATAAGGCACCTAAACTACTGGGGACGGTTGAAGGTCCTTGATCTGTATTCCCTGGAACGCAGGCAAGAGAGAGTTAGTTAATTTAATATATTTATTATGCACCCCATACCCATCCTGTGGGCGGTAGTTAAAAGTTTACAGAGGTACATAATGAGTCCAGGGACTGGACCCATTATGTACTTGTAGTTACATCACCTTTTACTGACGAGGCTGTCAGGTCAGTGTGTGATGGATGAAGTATTGCATCTCTCAGACTCACACTAAAAGACTACTATAAGCTTCACCATCAGTTTTATTATCTGTCACTGTTATTGTGTCAATATCTGTCTGTCACCAGTTCTATCTATATTTTTGTTCTAGATTCGCTACGTGTAGGAATTAATAATTTCCGGGTTGATTAGTTCTGCCCAGTATCCACTTTTCATGAGTGAATTTGAGATTTATAGGTTGGTCATCGTATCTGTTATTTCGTGTGTATATTTATAAGTATTTATGTGCACGTTAGCGGCCAATGTTGAAAATTTCTCACATGTAAGTTCGTTCTAGCTCCAGAACATTGTAACAGCCTTCAGAGTCATTTAGAACATTGCATCTTGAGGAGAGAATGGCCCATAGGAGGAATTTAAGTCGTCATTCTCTGCATAACCACCGGGGAGACTTGCTTATTAAATATTTGCCAAATGCTCAGTAATAACCCACATGAAGACAGAAACTCAGAAGACTAATTGATCTGTATATCTCGACCCTCTTCTGGGATCCTCTTCAGCGGAAGAGGATCTGCTGAAGAGAATCCCAGAAGAGGGTCGAAATATACAGATCAATTAATATTCTGTGTTTCCGGCTCCATGTGGGTTATTTTGAGCACTGATAGGTGTTCATTGCACTTTAGTTACTCACTTGCCTAGTGCTATTACACAACAGCAGCAGCAGCAGCATGTGAGTTCACACATTATAAAAATACACTTGAAGATATGCGGGCTATAATTCATAATTAATAACATAGGGACATTATTAATAATTAAAAACTTTATTAATAAATCAGGGAACGGATGGGATTTGAGCCCATGGCAAGTGAGTCCTACATTAACCCTGAACTAAAACGGGCTGGAGTTTTGAGACTCTCTGACCGCGGGTTCAATCCCGGCCGGGGTATGGTACGCTTTCTTGATAGTTATGACGGGACCCACAGGCACAACACCAGACACAAACATCTCTATGACATTCCCCGTGTCCGGTTAAATCTATGTAAACGTTCAATGTACATAAAAGGGCCTAAAATCTGGAACTCCCTGCCTGAAAACTCAAAAACTGCCGACTCAGCCACCATTTTCAAAACATCTTATCTCCCTAACACACCCCACCATCAACTAACTACACGAAATCCACCCATTCCTGCACACACACATCCTAATAAATCTTAAGCTAGTCATAAATTTACCTGAGATACTCCAATATAAGAGCTTTAACAGAAACTGTGTATCATGCCAAGACAAAACCATTCTCAAATATTCATAAATGTTCTGAACTACCTCACTATTGTACGTAAATCCATTTAATCATTTGTAATTTGTAATACAGAGTAAGAATTATTATTAGTCTGCCCGAAATGCCTAACTTGCTAGGCATGCTAGTGACCGTCTTTGTAATTGTTGTTTTATAATGTGTAAATCACCCCTTGTAATCTTTACAGGGGGTGATTTACTGCGCCCGCCTACTTTCTGTACTCGACTGAAGAAGCCTACCGTGTAGGCGAAACGTTTCGGAATAAAATTGCCTAAATGTTGCCTATGTGTTTTATCTACCAACCTTTACAGAGAAATAAACATTTCAATTTCAATAAAACACACAAACCAGTGCTCTCACCACACGGCCAGATGGCTCAAATAACTTTCATCAAACGAGTAACAATATGGGTCGTGAAATCTACTAATGCTATTGGTCGAGACGACAACAACAATGGCGACGGGTTATCGAAGAAGAGTTAATACTGTGTGTATTGACCTTATAAAGGGCACGATCCCCAGCTCATCGATTAATGTGTTGGTGCCGATGATCATCTGCGATGTATATGGCATCCAGCGTGAATCCCTGTGTGGCGTTGCCTTAAATGGACTATCACGGATCTTCGTCAAGTTTTGCGATACCAAGACCTACGAGCAGATTGTCAACCAGTATCAGGATGTTAGCAAGCAAGTAACCCCAGCAGTCACAGTTAAGTTGCACGACGTTTCACATTACTATACATGGGTACGTGTGCGAAACGTGCCTTTTGAGGCTAACGAAGTTGACATACGTGACGCCTTCAAATACTATGGGACGATCCACCAGGTTACTATGTGTCGGTGGTCTGATGGCCGCTTTGCTGGTTTACAGGAAGGGTCGTTTACGTTAAAAATGTCCCTGCGCCAACCAA